GACTGGGAAAACAGTAATACGATTGGCTATTTGATGATGTTATGGAATTTTTGTTCCTTTTTGGGGGCAGAACACTGGAACTGTGTTATGTGGGAGAAATGTCCTTGTTCTTAGGAGATCCACGCTAAAGTATTTAGGGATGAAGTGTCATGTCTGCAACTTATTTTCAACTGCTCAGCCAAAAAAAAAAAAAAGGAAAAAAGAGAGGAAGGAAGGGAAGGAGAGAGGAAGGAAAAAAGGAAGGAAGGAAAGAAGGAAGAGGGAGAGAGAGATAGCCATAAAGCAAACATGACAAAATACTAATAACTGTTCAATCTAAATGAGTAGTTTTTGACTGGGAGTGACTCCGCTCCTGGATGACTTTTGGCAATGTCTGAGGACATTTTAATTGTCCCGACTGCAGTGTGGGTGGGTGCCACCTGCACCTAAGGAGGCAGGGTCCAGAGATGCTGCCAAACACCCAGCAATGCACTGGACTGCCTCCCACAGCAGAGAACAATCAAGCCCCAAATGTCAAGAGTGCCAAGGGGAGGAAATCCTGATCTAGATGAAAGATATACTGGAGTTTATGTTTATTCTTCTTTCAAGTTTTCTGCATGTTTAGAATGTTTCACAATAACAAATCGGGAACAACTTAAGAATTCATGTGTGCAGGCTCAGTCGCTTCAGTCATGTTTGACTCTTTGCAACCCTATGGACTGTAGCCCCCCAGGCTCCTCCATCCATGGGATTCTCCAGGCAAGAATACGGGAGTGTGCTGCCATGCCTTCCTCCGGGGAATCTTCCAGACCCATGGATCATACTCGCATCTCCTGCATCTCCTGCATTGCAGGTGAATTCTTTACCCACTGAGCCACCTGGAAAGCCCAAAAATAAGAATACAGACATAGAAATATGTTGCAGACCAAATAAAATGTGTCTGCATGGTTTGGTACTATTTGGTACCCACCATTTGCAGTCGCTCCTTCCAATAAATAGTGACTGAATGTGGCTGTGGTTATATCTGCTGTCGAAGCATCTATTTTCTCCACATCACAGGCCAGGCCTGCGCACACTCTGGAATTGCTGTCTCTCCCCTTTTTCAGTCCTAATCAGCCCAGAAGGAAGCAGGCGATGTGCCCAGGCCTCTGAGTCTGGAAACTGACCTCATCAAACACAAGCACACGGGTCACTAGAAGCAGTCAGCGGTGTGACGTGGGAGCAGCACATGCTATAAGTCTTTGAGGAGAAGGTACTCTCAGGTAAGGTAAGAACAAACTTCCCATTCCAGTGACCCCTGCAGCTCGAGACAAAATTAAGAGGCTGCAGCCAGCAGGTTAATTTCACCTGAAAGCCACCCTACAGTGTCTCTGATGCAGAGCTTGGCGTGCTGGACCCAGCCAAACATCCTATGGTCCATGCGGGCAAAAGCGAATGAGCCATGGCTGGGATAGGAAATGATTAACTGCATCAGTAGAGCAGGATGCACTTGGTGAGTACTTGGGGCAGCCCCCAGCACCATAGAAACACACCCAAAGGCTACACACACAGGGAGAACCAGCAACACAATGTAAGTAAGAGTCACACTGATTGAATCCATCCACCCTCCTTCCAGGAAAATGGTCCCAAGTCAAGTGTGGACCACTTTACACAAGCCATTCAGGGATGTGGTAAAAACGCAGACTTCTGGGGCCCAGATAGATGGATTTAGAATCTCTCTGGATCAAGCGCAAGACTGTGCATTTTAGGAAGCTCCTCAAATTCTGATGCTCACTCAACCTGAAAACATCTGCCCCACACACAGCTGACACCGGGGGACTAAGGAATGCGCAATTTTCTCTGTGACCTTGAGCAAGCTACCAATCTCAGCTATGATTTGCTCCTATGTAATACAGAATTAGTACTTGTCTCATCACTGTGCAAACTAAATTATGTTTACACACACACACACACACACACCCCCCTAGTACAGTGCCTGGCACCCAGAACTGTGCTCAGCAAATGTTACTTCCTTTTCCTGGACAGTGACTGACTGAACACCATAAAGCCCGGAGAGATACACAAAGTATTGATGTACAGGCCCCACCCTAGAGATCCTGACTTGAACCATCTAGGGTGGGGCCCCTGGCAACGGGGTTTTTTAAAAAAAGCATTCCAGGTCACCCTAAACATCAGCCAAGGTTGAAAACTATACCTTGGGAGTCATCAGTAAAAAATCAAGCATTCTTTCTTTTCAGGAGTATGTGCTTCACTCCAGCCTGGAATTCTCAAGATATACGCAAGGGGAGCCTGTGCTGGGGCTCTGCGACCCCAGGACTGGATACCCCCTAGATTCCACCACCAAGGAGACCTTTCCCGGTACCTGTAGAGGAATGTGGCTGCAGCCTGCTGGGCTGCAAGCGGGCAGGGCCAGGAAGTTGAGTCCCTGGGGCCTCAAGCCAGCATCACTTTCTCCCACAGTTGCCCAAAGGTTAGTGCTCCTCCCCAGCTTCCCACCTCCCTCCTCCCGCCTCTCCACCCCCATCCCAACCAAACGAGGAGGAGAGCTCCCGAAGCCCTGGTTTGCAAGGCAAAGGCTCCATGGAGCTTTCAGCTGAGGAATTAAGTCGAAATCTGCCAGGCAGCCTACCCATCCCTGAGTGAATTTCCCTACCGAGGCAACAGTCGCCGCCGCAACCCTGCTTCCGAGTCTCGCTCGCAACACCAGACCCTTGGCGAGGACAGCGGGGGGCCGCGGAACCACCGGCCCGTGGGGTTGGCGATCGGGCACCTTGGGGTGGCAGGAGGGGGGCGGGGCCCGCGCTTGAGTCTTCTGGTAGGTCAGGCTTTCTTGAAATCCCTGGGAGAGGGGGTTTCTGTGCCTCTTGATCCCACCAACCATCCACACCTCCCTGCTAACCCAAACCGAGAGGAACTTCCTCACCTCTTTCTTCCCCCAAATTCTTCCCTTGGGGCGGGGAAGGGGGGTGGGGAATCATCCGATAATCTGCATATAAATAGAAAATAATTACTAGTGAGGTGGTGGTGATGTTCCTCGCCTATTTTTGGTGGGTCTCTTTGTTGAGATTTTTTAGGCAGGCACACGGAGCGCGTGCAGACACACGCGCGCGCACAGGCAGCCGGAGGTGCGGGGGGTGTGTGTGTGTGTTTGGGGGTGGGGGGAACACATGGCGACTCTGTTGCGCGTATACGGAAAGAGAATAAACCTTGTTCCTCAGTCATCCGGCTGTGTGCAGGCGACCCCGTGCTCTTTAACACCCTCCCCCGTCCCCCCTCACCCCAGCCGGGACCCCACACCAACCCCTGGCCTCTCCCCGGCCGGGGGTTGCATCCTCCCGTCTGCGTCTTCCGCCTCCAAAGTTACTGGGTTGTGCGAATCGATTTAGACACTCAGGGAAGAAAAAAAAAAAAAGGCAAATAGCTCCATTAATCCCCAAATGCCTTCTCCCATCTGCTGCGACTTGCTCGTGCTGGGACTTGCATAATGAATTAGGCAAAAGGGAAAGTTGACGAATCAGGGTGTCTAGGAGGGTGAAGGCACGCTGGGAGGGGGCTCCGGCCCTGGGAGGCCACACCAGCCCGCGCAAAGGGCGCAGCGCCACGGCTGAGGTCTCTGCCCCCGGCAGAGAGAGGTGGCGGCTGGAGAGAGGGACGAGGGGGTGGTGGGGAGGGGGGTGCGAGGTCCCAATTCCAGGGACCTGGCAGCTCGGCGGAAAGCGAGGCGGCCGCTCCGAGCAAAGCTTTTGTTCTCGCCCTCCCCGCACTCTCCACCTCCCTCGCCACATTTTCGCGAGTCGTACGAGTTGCAGGCGGCACACACTCCTTGCCTCCCTCCCTCCCCCCCCCCGCACACACACGCGCGCGGGCTCACACACGCCCCCCTTCCCTTTCGGGCTCGCCGGCCCCTGTTTACCTAGGGGCTCGTATGCGGAATCCGAAGGCTGGACCACCCCCCCTCCCAAAAACCCAAGACTCCAAAGACACGGGCTCCCAGGCTGTGTGTCTCAAGTCCGCTGCAATACTCCGCGGGAGGGGGCGGCAAGAGAGCGGGGGGGCGGGGGGGAGACACCCCTAATTCACACACACACTGTCACATCCACACCTGCGCTGAGGTCCCCGTCCCCTCTCTGCGCTCCCAACCCAAGTTGGCTACCCGGGTGACATCCCCCCGCGAAGAGGCCGGGGTGGAGGGGGAGCGCCATTGCCTCCGGGAAGGTGGGGAGGGGAGGGGAGGGAGAGCGGCGCCCGGGGAGTGGGGGGGGGGGGGGCGGGGGGCGGCAGCCCACCTGGACATGTGCTCCCTTTGGGGCCGGTGCGCTTTCTCCAGCCCCAGCTTGGTGAAGATGCCCACGAGCACCATGACGGCCACCACCCCGCAGATGATGTAAACGATCAGGTTGGTCTTGTCCTTGGTGGGGTCGTGCAGGGGGTCGTCCTTGCGCGCGGGGGGCTTGCCGGTGTTGAGCCAGAGCGGAGTGTCGTAGTTGGTGCAGGTGCTCTGATTCAGTCGCCGCTTCTTAAACGTGCAGCAGAACCGGAAGCCACAAGTCCCGCAGCAAAAGATGAAGTCGCCCGAGCTGCAGTTGAACGGCGGGTCCCACTGGCCCATGACATCGAAGTAGCCCCGGCAGAAGTCCGGCGTGGGCGCCCGGGTCGGGGGCGCGTCCGAGACCCCCACGCCCTCGCCGACCTCTCCCGAGGCGGCCCCAGAGCGGTTGCCCCCCGTCAGCACCACCACGCCGCCCAGCTGCGCCAGCTGCCCGTGCCCCGCTCGCTCCTGCGCCCGGCACACGCGGGCGCACAGCTCGGTGAGGAAGCAGCCGAGAAGCAGCCGGAGGACGCGGCGCATCGTGTCTCCCAGCCCGGGCTCGGCCACTCGGCCGCCGCTGGAGCCGCTGCAGCCGCCTCTCGAGGCGCGGCCGAAGCTGCCGAGGCTGCTGCCGGGGGCTGCGAGCCGCCGCGGGCCGCACATGCAGGGAGCGGCGCGGGGCGCTCGGTGGTCGGCGGCCACTGCGCTCGGCTCAGCCCGCGTTCGCCTCCAGCGCGCCGCGCGCCGAGGGGCCGGCCGGGGAGGAGCGCGCCGGGCCGGGCGGGGGGAGGAGGAACGGGGGCCAGCGCGGGGTGCAGGTCCGGCTGGCTCCCGGGGGGAGGCGGGGGCCGGAGAGCAAGGGCGAGTCGGGCGGTGCGCGCCTCCCCTCGGCCGGCGGCTCGGGACTCGCCGCCCCGCGCCCGCTCGCAGGCTCCCTGCTCACCTCTCCAGCTCGCCAAGTGCGCGGGAGAGAGCGAAGCGACACTTGTGGAATGAAGGGAGGGCAGGAGGGAAGGGGGAGGGGGAGGAGGGCGGGCAGAGGAGGCGCGGGGGGGAGGGGGCGGGAGCGAGCTCGAGAGGGGCGGGGGCGCGGGAGAGGTGACTCCCGCGGGCGGGCGGGCGGGAGCCAGGCGGGGGGCGTGCGGAGTCGAGCCGGGCTGGCGGGCGGACAGGAGCGAGCTCCGGCAGCCGCAGTGGCTGAAGGCACAGCTCGGATTTCCCGGCAGGTGAGGGACGGTGGCGGGACCTCCCGCGCCCTCACTGGGCGGGAGCCGCGGTTCCGACCTGTTCGGGGCGCGGAGGCGGCTCCGCCGGTGGCTTTTTCCCGGGTGCGTGCGCAGAAGCGGCGGCTCGAGTAGGCCCACCGGGGAAAGGGGTGTCTCGAAGGGTTGAGGGACAGACCAGGTGGCTTCCACTCCAAGACGGAGTGGGGCGCGATCTGATCAGGATCGTCCCTCCCAGGTGCCCGGGCACTGCCTGGCCCTTTCCTGGGCCGTGCCCTCCAACCCGGGACCAACCCGGGCTGGGTCGACTCCCGGGACCCAGGCGAGGACCAAGGCAGAGCTGGGAGGGCGCCTGGGCCCGGCGTAGGCAGCCCCGGGAGTGGGGCTCGGGATGAAATTAAGTCAAAGAAACGCAGGGAAGGTGAGGCAGTGGCCACCGCCGAGGCGATGACCTGGCCCCAGAACGTCTTTCCTTGGTACTCTCTCCCAGGCCCCTGGACCGGCCACTTGGTCCCTCTTCGCCGAAGCCGCCTTCTCCGCGCTCCACAGGAGGGCCACGCCGCGGCGCCGCCTCTGCGCGCCCAGATCTGGTGCAGCGCAAGGCCTGGGCGCCCAGCCTCGGCCGCCCTCCCGTACCTGCAGCCCTCGCGCATCGTTCCCCGGGAGCCGGCTGGCCCCTGTCCCCACCGACTCCCACCACCACCCCGGATATCCTCACCGGAGCTGCCGAACCCGGCCTTGCTTCCTCGGCTCCAAGTCTCCCGTGGTCAGTGTTTCCAAATCTGCCCTAGCTCACATCAGCCGATTCCTGCCAGCCGTCGGCCCTCTCCCATTTCTCCCACTTCTTCCTCTCCTCGGCTTGAATTTGACTCCAGTAGCCCCTAAAACAGGATTTGTACCAAAGCTGCTACACCAAATTTAGATCCCCACACGCCCCTGCGTTTTGTTTTTTAATTGCATTAACTAAGTATACACTTTGCAGTCGGCTAGGCGATTTGCAGGCAAATGTTTCCACCACCCCTCTTCTCCATTTGGCTGCAGTCAAGGGCTTCTCAGGGCATTTCCGAAGAATCAAGAGCTTGGGCCACAGAGAAGGTGACATACTACGGTGGGGGTCTCCTTAATTGGAAAATCATGGGGTTTTAATGGGACTGGTTTGAAAATTTTCTCAGCAGGAGAGGGGGTTCTGCTATTTATGCCTTCTCTTTGAAGAAATGGTCACCTACTCTCTCCCGCTGAAGACTAGCAGAGAATGACCCGATTCCAACAAAAACACACCAGGGCCATATTGATAGAGGCATATCCAGGAGTGAACCAGCCCTGGAAGAATCAATGAACTACGGGCTGTTATATCCCAAACCCATCAGGACAAGGCATGAGATTGCATAGTCTGAACTCCTTGTGTTCATCAGAACAGGATCCCCCAAACAAGACAGTGTCCACCCACACCTGTGTCCACCCACACCTGTGTCCACGCACACCCACCACCACGATGTGAGTCTCTGCAAACGCAGGTGTGTGAGCTGACCACAGCTGACATTTATTCGGTGCCTGTAACATACCCAGTAAGTTTGCTTGTTGTAAAATCACCTCCTCACGATGCTTAAAGCAGTGCCTCGCATCTAGCAGACAATCTGGGAATATTTGCTGAACCATTGAGTGACTGATCTCATTTAATTCCCCCCTGTTAGGTAATCTTTCCAAGCCCACACAACAGAAGGAGAGACTGAGGCCCAAAGCAATTAAACCAGGTGCCCAAGGAAACATAGCAAAAAAGTGCTGCTGTTGACATTTGACCCAAGAAATTTGACTCAGGAGCCTGTGTTCTAACCACTGCAGGTAGCGCCTTCCTAAAATAGGCCTCCACACTCTCCATCCAGCTGGCAGTATATTATTATTTCTTTTTTTTTTTTTACTGTCATACCACATTGAAATATAAAGCCCAGGCCAGAAAAGGCTCTGACTCTGGCAAGAGTCCCCCAGCATCCAGAACAATGTGGATGTGGGAAATACTTTAAAAATACATTGTTGTTGTTTAGTCGGTAAGTCATGTCCAACTCTTGCTCAAAGACTGTGGCCCACCAGGCTCCTCTGTCCATGGGATTTCCCTGGGCAAGAATATGGGAGTGGGTTGCCGTTTCCTCCTCCAGGGGATTTTCCTAGACCAGGGATGAAACTCTAGTCTCCTGCATTGGCAAGCGGGTTTTTCACCACTGAACCACTGGAGAAGCCCCCCCAAAATACCTACAGGCTGTTCTAATGAATTAATTAACATCTTTTATGCAACACCCTGTCTTTAAGAGAGGAAAGAAACTCTGAGGGCTAAAATAGACGTGCAGAAGGTTTGGAATCTTTTCACACGAGAATTCAGAATTGAGAAGAGCTGCTCCAACACTTTTGCTTCAGTCCAGGAAGGTGAGGCTCAGAGAGGTTAAGGACTTTGTCCAAGGTCACACACCCAGCAAATGGGAAATGCAGAGCTGGATGCAGAATGCCGGGCCCCTAATCCCAGGTCTCCTGCCATCCTACCCCACTGCACCCCATGTGACACTTCCCAGCAAACATCAGGGCTGAGGGCAAGACCCCAACAGAAGGCTGGATCACAGACACCTTCCTGCAAAAGAGGTTTGAAGGCATTCCTAAATTTGATTTTTTTTTTTTAAAGAAAAAGCTTAGCAAAAAGAGACAAAATCTAGACTGAAAAGTCCATTTCAGAAGCAGCCTCCAATCTCTGCAAAATATTGCCTGTCACCAGGACATTTGAGTCCGATCCTCAGAGGAGACGGGCTCTGAAGGCTGCTGCCGGCTTTAATTAACAGAGACTGCCCCCTGTTTGTGACAGAGAGAGTGCAGGGGATGGCTTTGGGAAGAAGCGTGGCTTATTTGCCATATTCCAAACCTGAAGCCCTTGGAAGCTTTGCCCCAACCCAATTCCCTTCCTGCTCCCACCGGCCATGGCTGTCAGTGTCCCCTGGAATACTGCCAAAGCCTATTTCCTAAGATTTGGAAAAATACTCAGAGGAGAGCGGAATCATCTTCATTTTACTCCTCAGAGGGAAAAAAGTCGATTTCCTCTGGGTATGTCAACTCAGGAAATAGATTCACTACTTCCTACCAGATGTGTGATTATTGGGAACGTGCCCCCATTTGGAACATGTGATTGAGAAGATATTTCTTGCAGGGCTTCTGGGGATGAGGGGTGGGGTGCGTTTATAAACTTCCTAATTGAAACACCTGGCAAGTTCATGGAAGATGAAAAATTGTTATTAAACGCCACCCCCTACCACTACCCAAATGAATTCATGCAAATGTGTCGAAATTAAAATGTAGTTCTTAATGAAAGTGCTTTCTGTGAAAGAGATGATGAAATTATTATTTACGACACAGGGGCCTTTTAATATCTGAAGAAGAATCTCATTTGCTCCAGCCTTACTGCTGTCGGGCTGCAGTATTGAGAATGCAATTGTGCCCCACCCCCCTCCAACAATTAGTGGAGGTAGCGTTGTAACGAAGGATGTTCACTTAGCAGGACTTGTAGTGAAGGATGCTTGCTTACCAGGACTTGTAACCCACGTCCAGAAGCAGCTCAGCAAATCAGATGATCTGTGCAGTGGTCCTCACTCCCAGGAGTTCTTTGTTAATTGTCCTCATCCAGTGCCTTGGGGTTTCAAAGTAGTCTCTAAGCAACTGTTAGCCTTGAGAAAGAAAGAAAGAAAAATAAAGCATTGAAACAGAAGCTGTTGGTTTAAATCCTTAGGGAGCTTCCCAGGTGAAATTCCAAACTGGCCCATCTCCGGAGAAAGAAGACAGGAGACAGAGGCAGCCACTTCAGATTATCAGGATTAATAAACATGGGAATTTATAGATGAGTTTGTCTTGAGTGGCTCCAAGAGGAATAGATCTGCACTCGTCTGCTAGTCTTAACTGTTTATTTAGACTTTTGCATCCTTGGAACAGCTTCTAGTGTGGGAAAAGTGGCTGGAGTGTATATTTCAAGGGCCAAGAAGAGTCAGGAGCCTCTCATTGCCCAGGTCTAGCTCTCAGGTCACATCCTCTTTATGACCTTCTCCAACAGAAGCCAAAGTGTTGCTAACACCCTGCCAGATTCAAGTAAAATACTGAAATGATATATCTTATTCTCTTGTTCTGAAAAGATAAGAAGTTTTATTAGAAGAAGAAAAGTGGGTCTGCTATACAGTTCTCTCAGACTGTAGTGTAGTCTTAGTGTGTGAGATGATTTTTGGCAGTACTCCAACCAAGATTTTTTTGAATTTTTTAAGTGACTTTAGCATATTTTTATTTACTTATTTTTATTTTTTGAGTGCACAATGGGGCACGTGGGATCTTAGTTCCGCTACTAGGCATCAACCCGTGCCCCCTACAGTGGAAGCATGGAGTCTTAAACCCTGGACCACTAGGGAAGTCCTCCCAACAAAGATTTTTTTTTTTTATAGTTTTATATTCGTTGGCTGGAAAAAAAAAGCACAACCTAAAAAGTTGAGGATTACATTTTATTTGGCAGACATTGTAAGGACTTCAAGTCAGGAAGACAGGAAGACAGGACTCTCAGCTCACTCTGAGGGACTGCTCTGAAGAGGTAAGGAGGGAAGCTGGATATACAGGAGTTTTGCAACAAAGGCCAGGTTATCGTGAAGAGGAAAAGTTAAAATTTTACATAACCTCCTGCTCCTCCTGCCTCTGTAACTCAGCTTGCTGCTTGAAAAGTCTGGATCACGTAGGTCATGTAGTTTCAGAAATTGGGGACTTACAATACTAGGAACTGGAGCTTATCTCACTCACCTTTGTCCTGCTCTTTGCAACTGCCCAGCCCCTGCAATCCTGCTTAATCATGCCTGTCCATGTAGAAGTCAGGCATCCCCCTCCCCATCTTGACTGCTATTCCCACAAGCGCATGAAACCCCTTAGTTTAAACCAGCCTATAACAGCTAGTGTTGCCCACTATAGTCTGTCTATAAAAACTCTGTAATCCCTTTGTTCGGGGTTCAGAGCTTGGAGTGTTAACTCCTCTGGGCCTGCCAGCGTAATAAACCTGAGTTCTCCAACTCTCCAAGTGCGGTGCTTTGGTTTCTCAATTATTGGCTTCTGCAACAATCAGAACATAAAAAAATTACCGTTAATTAAAGAAAATCAGATATCTCAAGTTAATGAATTTAGCGCTTTTCTGTGTCTGGGAAAATACAAGACTCTTGATGTAGGAGATAAATGGGCCCCTGGGCCAGGCAGCTGATATTTGTCAAATAGAGCAAAACTGAAGTTTTAGTATTCAGCTAGACAGGAATGATACCTGTTTCCCTTCCTCCATTGATATGGAGGGACTAACTAACAGAGGGGCATTTGATGCGGCAAAAACAGAAATTGGTGAACAGCCTTTGGCACATACTAGTCAAACCAGCCTACAAGAGTTAAACAATCTCAGTTATTCTTTAGCTGTTACTACAAACAAACAAACAAACACTTTTAGCTGGATTTGTCCTTCACAAAGCTAATTACCCTCTTTCTCCATATAGATGATGCTCTGCACCTGTCATACCTTTCCCCTACATGCAGGTCATGGGCCGATAACTTCAGGGACACAAGACCCGGCTGTGGGTCTAATGCCACAGCCTAATGCTTGTGTCTAATGCCAACTGTA